CTCTGGGATGCAGATTGGAGGAATTGATTACCTCTTAAAGTCTTATTAAATCTAACATTCAATGCAAGCAAAGAGATAAGGAATGAAGAACCTGCCTTCAGATTGCAGCTAATGACAACAGAATTTGGCTGTCGGGCTAATCTATCCACATCATCAATACCAACAACATCTATCTTATTGTAAACATAAACACACTTAATATATTTGCGGTTTCCTTCAATGACATCTATTAAATCATCCACTGTGGCATCTTCACGAAATAAAACCTGCAAAAGGTGAATCAAGAAAAAATTACACTTTGGCTTGCTTGCAAATGGTACAATAGAGAGAAAGCATTAGCATAAGTGTAGTGTATAGGGGCACCATAAGATGGTATTAATGAAGAAAATTCCACCTAAAACACTAAAAAATCTCAAAAGTAACAAGAAAATCCATAAAATCTGAGAAAAATGGAGCAAATATAAAGAAATAAAAGGTAGAAACTAATGCATGCAGAAATACAGGGAGACAATAACGTAAAAACTTATGTAAATTTGAACACCAATTTCTAATCACAAAACAAATCATTCTTGGAGAACTTTTACAACTTCAGATTTCCACTATGGGCATAGCAAGACCATCTTCACATTATTTTTCCCAATATAAAAGATAAAAGTGGAAAATCTTCTACAAGGGAAGGCATAACTATAATGCAAGGCTGACAACAAAAGCAGAGTCACAATACCACACACTCAACCTGCTTTGTTTTTAAGTCATTATCATGCTAGTTTAAGCCATTTGCATAATCAGTATATAGCTAGAATCTGAGACATTCTATGCATCGATAGAATCAATAACAGAAAAACTACTAATCAGCATTAAATTTGAAAACTACATACCTCTGCGTTATGAATTTTGTATTCATGCAGAATCTGGTAACAAAGCTTCTCATTTACATGAGTTAAAGGAAGAGTGCTATTGAAAGAAATGCCTCCAGTTTTCTTCTTTTTGAAATATATCTGCAAATGAAACAAAAACAAAGCCAAAATGAAGCAGGTCACAGCGATACATTGTTGCAGACAGAGAAAAGATTAGATATGGTCTTAACTAGATCAACAGGCAAGGTAAATGTTAATCTCTTCTCTTGCAGACAATTTTGGCAATAAAGTCACATTTACTCATGTCTGTAAACATTGGTAGCTTTGAGGTCTTCAATAGTGAAAACAATAACAATCAAAGGATGAGAAAAGAATGAATAACTTGAGAAAGTGGGATGAGGGGGAGGAGGAGGAGGAGGAGGAGAGGAACATAACTTACTTGAGGTGGCCTTTTGTTTAAACGCAAACCCACAGCCTCCAGCTCCCTCGTCAAAATCTGGCGATGTCCCTCACTCTGAGTTATATCAACAAAAAAACATCAGGAAAAGAGTGACACTATCAAATGAAAAAAAGTGGGGGCCAAAAAATGAAAAAGTAATATAACTACTAACATTGAATGTCACCAAAAATAAAAACTCAAAGGTATAGGAAATCAGAAAGAGTTGCAAAGAATTAATAAACTACAGGCATATACAGCTATATTACACCTAAACCACAAGCAATACTCAAAGCGTTGAGGAAATATATGATGCCTGAAACATGGAGAACTTAATGCACTCTATTTTACAATTTAAACCTCTTGGAGTCACTCATAAGGTTTATAGCAAGAGAATAACAAGGAAGAAAAGTGATTTTGGACAATTCTCAATGGACGTAGAAATTAAAACATCTTCAGAAGCCTAGAAAACAACAAAAATAATAATACCATAACAACCAATAAGATACCCAATGCCATACACTATGTTTTGTTTTATATTATAAGACAAGAGGCAGTTGCCCTTTAATGGTCCTCTCCTCATTTTATTACTCTTAACAAATTTTACAACTATACCAGAAATTGAGGCACAGTGTCAACTGCTTCTTTGCCCCAAAAGTTCTCAGGCAACCAGTATATGGCCTTATGTATATAATAAACAGGAATTTAACAGCCTGAACTACACAATCTGGGAACCAACAAATACCAAAAAGATATATGATAGGGGCACTTACTTTCGAGGCATCAAGAACCATCAACACAAGGTCAGAAGATTTGGCAACAGCAATGACCTAAGAGGTAAGCAGCTTGTCAAAAATCTTGTATTCAATCAATCACAAACCAAGATGCAGCAAATATTCAAAGTCTATACATTTTAAGAATAGAATTGAATGCTAGGCATTGCCAACAAACCCCCCTCTCTATGACCATATGAACTTGTTAAGAACTTTACTACTTTAGACAAATAGCTCAACATAAAAACTTAAAGGACTTTCCACTCCTTTGCTCCAAAGAACAACAAATTGTTATCCTGACACATGGTAATAAGTATGAATAATCACCATTAGAAACATGGAGTTAAAGGTTTTACCTGCCTCCCACGTCCCTTGCCTTCAGAAGCACCTTCAATAATTCCAGGAAGATCAAGTAGCTGAATCTTGGTATCATTGTAATTTATGATCCCAGGAATGCAGGTCAATGTTGTGAATTCATAAGAGGCAGCCTCGGAATGAGTGCCTGTTAACATTGTTAAAAGGGTTGACTTCCCCACACTGCAGTCAAAACACAACGAATTTGTTAACTTCTCTAATAGGAAAATTCATGCCAACAAGTACTCTAGACATGGACACACGCATTTATGATTATGAATTTAACCCTGTAAACAGGTATACACACATGCATATAAGAAAATGAGGAAGAGAACAAAGGAACAAGATGCGTTAGCATCAACATTAAAGGTCTATATTCATAAATTATTAAGTGAAAGAAAAGAGTAAGATATCTTAATACAGTAATTACACCATAAAAAGTAAGTCCCAATAGTTCTCCATGCTATCTCTACCATGACAAATGTTGACATGGTGAAGCCCAAGTTTTAGCAGTAAGAGAACAGATAGCAAAATTTTATCTTTATAAACACATAGGTGATATTTCTTGTGGAATTTATGGAATGTAGAAAGTGTTACTAGTTCTTAGACAAAGGAAAAAAGGGAAAATACGCTCAGTTTATATAGGTACAAACCTTGGAAATCCTATCAGTGCAACACGTCCATGACCATATTTCGTAACTTCAAAACCCTCTCCAGCTCCGCTAGAACCCTGACTCATCATAAATTCAAATAACAGAGAAAAATAAACTTTTTTAGGAGTGCAGAGGAAAAAAAAAAAAAAGAAATCTATTACATTCAACTAGTTGTTGAGGCTGCAACCATGATTGATAAAATGACCTGAAGATTTGTCCTTTCCTAATTTCTAGCTTTTGGGCAATTCATTCCCATAATAATAATAATTTAATAAAAAGATAATGATGTTTATCTTTTGCCTAAGAAATAGAGACTATCAGAGAATCTATTAAATTTAAAGAAAGAAATATGAAGTGAATAAACAGAAAGATCAAAACTAAGGTGAAACCTTTATTTTTAAAAAATTATACATTAAATTCAAATAAAATAAATTATTTTGGAATCAGTTCATGTTACATGAGAAAAGCACATACTTTTGGTGGCTCCAACAGTTGTGTCCTTAGCTTTGCAATCTTTGCCTTGAGTTGCCCAAGATGATACTCTGTGTATTGAGTAAATTAGCATAAGCAAAGCCATTCAATGATTAAGGAAAAAGAACAAATTCACACATAACCAAGCATCCAAATACCCGTAGCTTTATTTTTCTGAGTCCGAGCCATCTCGGCTTCAATTTCCTTAATCTTCTCAATAATCCCCATTTTTTTTTACTATAGCTACTCCTTCTATCACGAATAAACCATAAACCAGTCAAAATTTCAGCTTCTAAAACCTGTAATATATTAATTCAAATGGAAATTCATATTCACTAAACTATAATTCGCCTATATCCCATAACAATATCACATGAACAAATCACAAATTCAAAAAAGAAAAAAGAAAGGGTTCGAAAATATAAGGAAGAAAAGCAGCAGTTTAGATGATCAAGCAATTCGATTCCGTTTTCCTTTACAATAAATAACAAAAATCAGTGCAAATTAAAAGTTGATTATATCAGATAAAGCAATTGGGTATATCATAAGCAATTGCTACATAAATTTGCAGAAAAAAAAGGAGAAAAAAACAAAAACAAAATATTCTCCGCAGTCTAATTGCTGTTCCAATCGCGTGAAACTAAAACGACTGCAAGAAGACGAGGAAGAGATAGTGAGTATCAGAGTACATTTTGTTTGATGGATGGCTCGCCGCCGGCTGCTACTAGAGAGTGGGCGAAAGCCGATCTCTGAAGCGAGTAGAAGGAGGACGAGAATCAAGGCTGAAGATTACAAGTAGGTCTTAATGAACAGCGGCGAGACTGTGACTCGTGGACTTGATTTTTTTTTTTTT